ACGAATAAAACAGAAACTGTTTAGGCTCGAGGGGATCAAATCGACGTCTTAATAGGCATCCCCACGGCGAGCCGATATTAATTAAAATCGATTAAAGTTTCTTCCCTCTGGCGATAAATCCCTGCCGACCCGAAAAGCCGATAAATCCCAACTGTAGCTTCTAGAATTGTTGAGTTACGAGCGGAGTGGAACGCTCTCTTGCTCGCGCGCGCAACGGCGACGGGAGTAAGAGAGACAGCGACAGAGAGAAAGAGAGAGACAGACCCATAAAACGAAACTCGAAACTTCGCCTGAAAGGGGCATCAATCTTACCTGACAACGGTGTCGTGGTGCTCTCCTCCTTCTAGGAACTCTGCGCAAACCGTGCGCGGCGGTGTGGGCCGCGGCATTGTTGCAGGACGCGTGCTTCAAATGGCAGCAGGACGGATTTCCGGAAAAGCCGGCGGCAGCGGCGGCGGCCGCTGGCTGTTGGGATACGTTCGGACAGCCGGTCCGCGTCTGGCTGCCCCTCTGATCCGGCGACACCGTCAATTTCACCTTAATCGTCTTGCTGCCGCACGGCGGTACCTGGATGGAAGCGCCCAGGGTATCGTAAATGGTGGTCACCAGGCCGGCTATGTCGTCCTTTGTTATCTTCCCGTGGCCGTCGAAGTCGTACAGAGTGAACGAGAATTCCTGCCTCCTTCTGTCGCCCTCCGCCACCGACACGTCGCATTCGAATTCCTGAAAGAGGGTAAAACCGGGATAAATAAGAGGATAAAGGAACGAGTTTCGAATGTGTGTACGCATCAGACGCGGCTACGATGGTAGAGATCCTTTGCCGTTGCACGGGGTCCGGCGACAGATGCTACGCGGGTCCAAATAGTTTCCGGTTTAAACCCTGATTCGCTGATAAAGGATCTTTTTATTCTCATTCGTTTCGCGTGGGTTGTGTAATGGTGTTGTTTGGTAATATTGTATAAGCCTAGCTGGCTTTCGGCGATTTAGAACGATGGCGATAGATGTTTTTGGAGAAACTTTTGCATGAGTTTTAGTATCAGCTGCCGGCTGCTGCTAGTATCAGCTCTAACGCCGTCAAATGTAACTGTTGTAATTATAACTTTTGCCCTTTTCCCTCGTTAGACCTTCCTTTATCGAAATAACCGATGTAACCGCCGTGATGTTCTACCGTTTACGGTAAGTAGCTCATTTCCACTCGATTTAATAATACCTCGAAGCTAAGTTGCTTTGTTGTACTGGCGCTCGGTTGTTCGTCATTTCCGGTTGCCGGCGTAGGACTGGTGGAAGCGTCGACCGCGACCTGCGGCGCTTCTGTTTCTAACAAAATTGGCTTGGATTCCGGTGGTGAACCGCTACAAGGCACCGAGACGCCGCCAAGAAGTTCTTCCGAGTCGCTGCCTTCCGTATTACCAACAACTGTAAACCAAACGATTCAGGACCCTTCAGTTTTTATAATTAAACGATTTTATGGATGGATCTACCAGTAAATTGCAACCATCTACAGTTGCGCGACATTGGAAAAGGGGAGTGACGCTCGAGGCAAGAATCAGTTAACGCGTTGGCAATGCCAAAATCTTTCTAAACAGAGTTGATAATAATAAATATAATAATATTATTACTATTATTATTAACTACAAGGTAATTATACCTTGTATATGTATATAAATATAATATAATATAATAATAATAACAATAACTACGAGGTAGTTATTATTTCAACCATCATAAATTCCGTGGTAATGTTTCATTTGGAAGATTCATAATTTCGAATCATTGGTTTTTAAAAATATAACACGGTCTCGTGGTAAAAAATGACGGTGACATATGATCCAGAAAGTCTGCTCTCAAAAGAAAAAGAAAACTGATTCCGCTGGCTAATGTATTCCTCGGTAAAAGCCTATAAAAAAGCTGTTACGCCTCGGTCAGTTTTCGAAACGCTCCGGAACGACACTTTTGACTGAACGATTTTCACCGCCCGCCTATAAGCTCAGCCAGCTGCGGGAGCTGCAAGAATGCCGTAATGTGTACACAACGTTTCAATGATGCTCGACGTTCAACCCCTTACTGTTCAGCATCGTACGAAGAAAGTCACTTTGTACGCCTCTGGATATAAGCCAAAACGCCATAACTCAGGCGTTTTCTTTTGCGAGATTTTGCGTTTGAAAGATTTAAACGTTTACGTCGTAAATTTCCGTGTTCTTATGCTTATTACTTCGCCAACAAGAAGAAAGCGTGCACTTTATTTTGATCTGAATCGAGGCCAGGCCCAAAGTCTCCTCCAAAATGTAACCATCGTTGTTAACGCGGATGTAATTGTTACGAACATCTGGGATATTACACAGAACTCCTCGAACAGTTGATTCAACCGTGTTTTAATTGTCACGAAGGAAAACTAAAAAATTCATCGAGAAACGAAAATGTTTAATATTCGGAGCAAAACTGTCTCCCAAAATTAGTTAAATAATCAAGCGGGGGGAAATTCTCCATGACGAATAAAAATGATCTCTGCTCGTCGATGTAATTAATCGTAACGTTTATTTGTTGCAACGCGAGAAAAGGAAATCGACTTTAATTGCCGCGGCGGATGGAGGAAGGAAACCAGGAGCCGGCGAGTTCTTTTTGCGCTACTTGCAACGTGTAAAGTTAAAAAATAGAAGCTCGAGACCTCGCGGGGAACGGGCAGAAAACAGTAAAAATAGAGATTACAGTTTTAGTGGTTGTTCCGTGAGCGGAATGTCTTTCAATAGCAACGTTTCTAGTCTGAATTTCTCATCAAAGAGAATTAAACCCCCGGTGGCTGCCTATGGCCGAGCGTCACCAACCCTCGTAAACAAAAGTCAGCATTTCAAAGGTATCAAAGTAACATCCGCCTCACTAAAGACTGTATTTATAGTTAGTTTCTGAGTGCTGCACGGTACTTAAGTCATGGTGAGCGGAAAGTATTTTCGGACTATTTTAAAGGGGTTGTTACTTCGAACGACCTGAAATAAACGCGATGGATTGCCGAAATCAATTCCATTCTCACGCGTTAATCAAACGGAGAAATGGATCATCGTCGTTCATTTCTTTTTATATACATATATATATATATATATGTATAAAGAAGAAACAAAAACAGAAAGAAACGAAGAATACGTGTTTCCGAGAAGTATCTTAAGCCGAATATTCATCGGCAACGCAAGACGTCACGATCGTTCGCCGAGTCTTTTCGAACCAGTCCTTTTTTCTTTTCTTCCCAATTTGTTTTTTCTTTCGTCGCAGAAGATGTGACGCGCACGTCATAATATTTGCGAACACTTTTAAATTCCTTGATGCACGCGCAACAGATAGGAGAGGAATGTAGAATATCCTACAGGGATAAACCTATTAACCGACCCAACTGGCAAACGCTTCTGAAAATTACAAGAAGAAGCTTATCGAACCTTTTATGTTACTCTCGAAGTGAAAGACGACGTAACGTAAGATTGCTTTATAGGTGTATTTTCGCTTGTATTACACCTATATATACCTAAAACAAGATTGTTCTCCGACGTTCCCACTCGATATAATAGAAGAATAAAGCGTAATATAATTCAGAGCGCGAAAGGTGCGAAGAAAAATATCGAAGTTCGAGGAAACTGTGCGAAATTTATTATCGATATCAGTCGAGTACGTTCAAGTACAGTTTCAGATGTCCGAGGGAAGAGGAGAAAATGGAGCACCGCTTATTAAACTTACATTTATAATGTATTTCATTAGATATTATTCACATTTTACACCTCTCGCGTTCTGCGTGCTCGTTCGGGTTATAACTGCGTAACATCCGCGATTTAATTATAATCTAACGGTTTACATGCATCGGCGGTTGCGGGACACTCCGCAAAGGAATTATGAAGGTTATTAAAAAGAAAACCGATAAAGGGGCCCGTGAAATATTTTCAAACGTTCGCGATCCAGGAATCGATGAGCGCCGCGCCGCGATTCAGACTCATAAATTCCGTGCGAAGTGTCTCGTTCGGCAATTATCGACCGGATCCCGGACGTAAAAGCGCAATTATCGTTAATGCATTTCGTCTACGACTCGTCCCGAAATTATTCACCGTCACGCGGCTTAATGAATTAAACGAAAGTGTACCGAAAAGGACGGAGCATCCATTTCCGAGCGTAGCTATCCTAACGCTCGCTTCTCGCAGGCATTACACGCTCCCAGTCCAAGTGTAATGTATTCTTTAATGTGTCTGCATTACGCCGGGTTTACCGTTACCTAGAGACGGCGTGTAAAAGCGTTCCTACGAAATGAAACGTTGAAAAGGAGCCTTTACGCAACCGGTCGCGCACAAAAGAAACACCCACGGGAGACACGGTGAAACGAAATGTCTTGAAACGTTCGTAACGTTCAACCCTTCGTCAACGGGGCGACACAAAGCTGTCCCACTTCGGCCGGTTTTAATTGTGAATCGTTAAACGCCACTGAATTTCTTTTTTTCCCCGCCGATGCCGAGGATGCGTTTAATGTCAAACTGTAACCCAGTAACAGTATACACAGTTAACACTAAAATTATCGGCCAGTCGAATTGAACGATCCGCGTGGCGTTATATAAATTACGGGGTTCGATTTATTGAGATTTAGATGCGTTATAGATCATTAAATATAATAGTAATTATTATTTTAATTCGACAATTATTAATTCATTTATTACCATTTTAAATCAGTTATTATCATTTTAGTAATAGTAAAACAGAAAATTCGAAATGAACCGTTCTCGTTCGTACAGTGATTGCAACGTTTAATCGCAAAAGTATCTGCCCATTCGAATGTATAATGTATTTTAGTAGATTAAGTAATGTTCCTTCAGTGGTCTATATCGAATTTCTTAATTGAACGTATTCGAACGTAAAGTGTATGCGTTAAAGTTTTATGACACGACAAATTACACCTTGTAACTTCGATTTTCAACATACATTACGTAAAGCGTATCGTACAAGCTGAATACTGTTAAGTACCTGTATTTCGCGTTTTCCCGCGATGAACCGTTGAAATTTGAATAATTCATTTGTCACGAATTATTTGTGAAACGTTACACGACGTTTCTCCGATGACCCTATCGAGCATGAAGCTAGCCGAACGATTTTATCCGTGTGCGCTATAGTCAAGTTCTCAAGTGTTGACTGGCCAAGGTCAACTTCGGTGACAGTGCTCGAGGGGAAGTCGAACCCCGTGATGGTTCTTTTTCTCCCCACCTCCCCCCTATCTTTTTTTTTAACATCGTGTGCACTTCGGTACTTGCCATATACAATTACATGACATTCAAGAAGTACCGTGAGGTAAAGGGGACGCTTCTAGACTAGGCCGTAACGTATCCGTGTGGCTATTAATTTTCTCCTACGTGACCGCTCAAAACTTTGCGATTACTTGCGTTACGCACTGACCGTCGAGAACACGAAACGTCTGTCCCAGTATTTCATACTTTAAACACCCTTACAACGGTCGCGAAGAATCTACCCATTACAAATCATACTATCATCTATATCTACAACCAAAAAGAAGAAAAAAAAATGAACCGACGAATAATGGAACAAATCAATTTCAATTATTAACCCTTTGAACTCTGTGGGCTCCAATATTGCACCAGTTATAATATCAAATATTTTAATGAATCCTAAAGAAACTACCCTAAAATTATTAGATTTTCACGCATTCAAATTTTGTATTAAGAAGGCAAATAAAAGATCGAAGAAATGTTATAGCATTTCTCATTTTCGCTAGGAATACTATAAAAATTAGTTGCAGTTGCTGATAGATTATAAAACAACCTGGAGTGCTAAGGGTTAATAGAAATATGAATGACTATTAAATAAATCAAATTCTACTTAATACTAGAACTACCGACTGGGTCAAGTTCCTAAATTCTCCTTTCCCGATTATTAGAAAGATAACAGATGCTTCTCTGCACGATTACTGAAGAAATTGATTTAGTAATGCCCGAGTGAGTCACAAGTCAATTGAAATCCGAATAGCTTAAAGTCCCTGTAGAAAAATTTGAAAATGTCTGACCGGTAGTTCTAGTACTAAGCCACTAATCTGTATAAGCCTGGACAAAGTACGAAAATCCTCCGATGAACTTTTTCTACGTTCCTCGAATGGCAACGTCGAAAATCAGAATTATATAATGAATTATTATTTATTCGATTAGCGGTGAGAGCTGGCAGAATATACGGTGGCATTTCGAACGTTTCGTTCTCCGCGGAACCGAGCCAGACGGAAGGCAAATATTTCAGGAGAATAACGAAAAATGAGGTAAATTTTTTTTGCCGGATTAGCGATACACACGAGCCGACACGACGCGCAGGCTGCGCGCAGCATGCTTTGAAGTATCGGGAGCCATCCGATGAATCCCGTACTGCCGTTCCGTCTAGTCCGCTCGCACGCTCGCGGT